GGTTTCTTCTTCTGCACACCCTTTCCCCGTAGAATCCTAGCATGGAGCTTTGTCGTACCCCGGTCGCATTTCCACCCTCCAAAAGCTTTAAAATCTTATACATTCAAAAGAGGGTGATAATTGGCCGTCCCACACCTGCCACACAAAACGAACTCCAAAATGTGATCCGCAGGTGACCGAGATGGATATTTTGTAAAGCTTCCAAGGAGCATAAACTTTGTTCCTCCTGATGTATGTGGGAAAAATCCTGCAAATGGTATATCATGGGAAGGTCATTGGACCTCCATGTATATATATATACCTATATAACTATATATATATAATATATACATATATATATATACATATATATATATATATTATATATATATGAATGGAATCTGGTGATCATGGTACAACATGGCAAAATCATGGGTATGTAGTAAAAGATCTAATGGGATTGATGGCCGGCAAGTGAAAACCCTTTGGAGAATCAAACTCCAACAATAATATGGAGATTATGATTGGGTTTTATAGCATGGAGATTGTGATAGGCACGACAGTAGAAGAATGGTTAGTAAGTTAGTAAACATGGGGGTTGCCAAACAGAGATGATTATTTTGTATAACGTTATATACCCATTCTTAGTATATGAAGGGTGGTACGGCACCATCACCAGTCATCAACTAAATGGGTTTCATCCAATGATTCTGGTGTCACGCAGGTCAGAGCACTCCAGAAATCTATGCACCAAAATAGAGATTGTCACAACTGGATCCCCAAAAAGAGCGATTGAATTCAATTTGACCAAACAACAATTCTGGTTTATGAGAATTTATCATTTTCTCCATTTGGAAAAGGTAATTGGGCTGTACCCCTTTGATTTTTTTTCTTCGAACGATCCGTCTAGTAAAATGATTCAGCCAACCCTCCCCATTTCGGTTACTTCCAAATGATACATATTGGTTCATAGTTCACCCTTACAAAAGAGGGTTGGGGTGAAGATTATTCGCCAAAAAAACGCTGTTACTGTTTGGGTATATTCAGTTGACCCAAAGGTAATCCCAACAATAAATGATTCTTAAGGGCGTAAAAAAAAGCCTTTTGGTGGGGATTTGGGCTTATTTCAATCCAAAGCACCCAACAAATCCCAACAAGTTTTGAGGATATGGCGATGTTGGTCAAACTCGGTGCACTGAGCACCATCGAAGGGGAGCCAATGCACCCACAGAAGTGCTCATGTTCAAAAGTAAACACTCAGTTTTGGATGGAAATGGCAAATCAGAGAGCCATTTAGCCAGCTAGAAAACCCATTCAACCAGCTGTCACAAACATGATTCTGCGTGAACTTCACCATTGCTACTCTAAAATGCAGTGCAACTTGGGGGGCCATCGGGCCATCCTCCATGTTCCCACAAGTGGTTCAACCCCAAAATCATATTGTCCCTGAAGATATGCTCTTTGTATCACCAATGGATGGCATTATGTACGCCACAACCTTGGTGAATTCTGCTAAAAAAAACCCAGTGATTCTGGATTCAATTCTGGATTTCTGACTAAGCTCATCTATTTTTGGATCAAATCTAAGCAAAACATATGGAAAAATCTCAATGTCGCTTGGTGAAATCCCGTAGATCCCATCAAATCACAAAAACAAAACGCGTTGAATCCGATCAACTCATCACTTCATCAGGAGTTAACCACCAAAATTGAAGGTGTCCATAAATGGTCCCCAATAGCTTGATGGTTTCAAGTCATTCATGGTTTATTTCTTTTAGAACATCCCAATTTATAAATGGATGATTATCCCCATCTGGTACTTTTTTGGTGATTTCAAAATGATGAAAATTGTGGTGACCTGGACTCGGAAAAGAAAATGCATCACCAGATGGGGATGATGATTTAGGGTACCCCTACTTAGATGGGCCATGGGATTAACGATTCCTGGTTAGTAACTGGGGATTTGTTACCCTCTATATCCCAATATCCCAATTCATTTACTAACTAAATGACTAACTCCATGGCCCACCTAAGTACGACCACCGCCTCTGGGCTGCCTGACGCGTAACCACCCAGACCTGACAGACCTGAGGAGGCTGCTGCAGCAGTCGGCGCCTCCATGGCACGGCAACGGGGATTGATATCCGATCTAAGCATGAAACATGGCGATTGAATGGAATCGAAGCATGAAACATGGCGATTGAATGGAATCGAAGCATGAAACATGGCGATTGAATGGAATCGAAGCATGAAACATGGCGATCTAATCTGATTGAACCATGGAGCACGGGTGATTTTGAATGATTTGTTTCATTGGGGATTTCATGCAATTGTTCACTAAGGCAACTAAGGCAACTGGGGGATTCGCTGAGACCGCCTCTTGAAAATCAGCTGGCTATGCGATTTCATGGTATTTTCATGGCGGTTTAATGCGATTTATCCAAGGAAAATTGTCATGTATGGGATTTCATCGAGGAAAATGGTGATTTTGATGGTAGATGAACAACTAGACTTGTGATTTAATTGGATTTGACAACCAAAAACGAGGTATAAACACACCGTAGGGAGAAAATAATGCGATGACCAACACTATGACATTTGGGCGTTTCTGGAAATGCGTGCGTGCGCATCACCAAATTGCAGCTTTCAATGCAAATTCATATGTATACCATTTCGAGTCCTATTATCTACAATGTTTACCCTCTGGTAAACTAACATAACTATGGGAAATCACCATTTTTAATGGGAAAATCCACTATTAATGGCCATTTTCAATAGCTACGTTAAATTACCAGAGGGTATGCATTTTTCACCATGTGTTTTGGAGGTAAAGTTCGGGTCTGTGCAGATAATGTCCAAACCCAGTTCCTCCATTCACTGGGGATATCCTGTGAATTTCGCTCCACCAAGAGGTGCTACAAATTGCCAGTTGTTCACTTCTTTAAAGCTGCTAATTCATGCTAATTCGATCACATTGCTTAGCTAAGGTATATTTCTCCATGATTCTTGCAGGTTGACTGCAAACATGGGTCAACATACAACAACATGGAGGTAAATAACATGCCAGTCTTAACAGGTAAGTTTAAAGCCCAGGTATATAACTGCAAGATATTGCGAGTGGGTTAAACTCATCGTTTTACAGCTTGGATTCTATATCGATCAAATGCTGTCATATTCATATTGTCTTCCAGTCATATAAGTGGATTGTTTCATGATGTTGATCCCCACTTCGCGATCACATCCTAACTTTTGGTGCGTCCTACCATGGTTTATCACGTTCCCTATTCAAACGCATATTCTTATGGGCATCCCCTATCTCTATTCTAATATATATATATATGTATACACATACAGGCCACTACTATTATGCCAGTATCATTCCCAAAACCAAAACCTGGAGAAACTATAATTTTCATTATTTTCCATATAATAGTCCCATGATCTTGGACGGCTTAATAACGCCCCAAGACAAGAACAAAACATATGCTTTTTTTTTAACAGTAATCGATTCCCCGAGTAGTGGATGTCCCATTGGGAGAACAAGAAATATAAACATCATTGACAACACCTTAAAAATCATCTTCATCAAATCCAGGTTTTTTTTGCCACATAAACCGTATAGTTACATTATGTAACATTTATCCCCATATACCGTAGTTCACCCAGTTAGAATTCCAAGCCAGGAAAGCCGTGCCATGCTCCATGGTGCTGGAATATTTACCTACATTTACCCCCAAACATTGCCCAAATGTAGCGAAATATTCCATAATTGGAGCATCTGGGTAAGGGAAGTGAGCCGAATGATGAACTGCAATACTCTGGCGGTACAGCAATACACTGAGCACGCAATGCTGTGAGGGCCAGCAGCATGTTGGCCGATGTGCGCCTGTGTAAAAAGCTCTCACTATGGCTTGAACGAAGTTTGCTCGTTGTTGGCCAGACTTCCGACCATTCCCTGTGTCAAAACTGTTCTCCAACAATTTCTGCATCTCTTCTCAGTCCCAAGCTCTGCCATTCACATTTTCCTATGTTTCCTATTATCCCATGTTAATCTGCTTGGTGGCTTCAACCCCCCTGAAAAATATGAAAGTCAGATTGGATCATCATCCCAACTATTGGGGGAAATAAAGCATCTTCACCAACCAGATAATGATTTGATTATTGGCCTACAAGGTGGTGCCCCCCAAGCTATAAGTTGGTTTATAATCCCATTAACTATAGATGTATCTACCATAAGTCCTAGTTATTAGAGTTATAAACCAACTTAGCTATCTTGGGGGCACCATCTTGTATGGTTTCCTATGATTTCCTATGGTTCCCTATCCTATTATCATCCCATGTCTACGGATGATTCCCTTCAGTTCCGCGCCTCCTCCACGCGTGGTCTCTTCGCCTCGGGTTCCTGCTCACCTGGCGCTGATGTCATGGTGATTTCACCGTGAAACATGGCGGATTTCATGGGATTTAACATGATTTACCCTCTGGTAAACCAACGTAACTATGGAAAATCACCATTTTTAATGGGAAAACTCACTATAAATGGCCATGTTCAATAGCTATGTTAGTTTACCAGTGGGTAACCAAGAAAAATGGATGGGCCCAAGTTGAACCCAAATTGGGGCAAGCACCTGCAAGTTGCAAACAAGGCCGACGCCTTGTTGGCCAAAACTGACCCCAAGTTGAGCCCATGTTGTCCAAAAATGTGGGGGATGGAGCGATGCTATCATCCCTGCATAGGGGGTTCTACAACTCCGAAGTGCCACAAAGTAGTGGGACCACGGCTTATAGACGGCCGTGGGTTTTGGGTGGTTTTGGGGGGGGCTGATAACGTTCTTGGCTGC